CCCCTCTTCATCAACAACACAGACAAACTTGGTGACGACAGCTGATGCCCCAAGCAATCCCAGAACGCAAAGACAAGACAACTAAACACACGGGGAACGAAGCCCCGCCCCCCGGCCGCCATGTTTACCCAGGCACGCTAACTGCCAGTATTGTTTACACGGGAAATTAGTCGCAGACGTCTTATCTTTCGGCAATTAATATTCATCCGCATGCTGATGGCTCTCTCATTAATCGGCGGGTTCCTCCAATCGGAGTCCAGGAGGAATACGCAACCGGAAGGTGATGGATAATAGAAGCAAGGTGCACGCACGGGCTGCGCATGACAAGAGCTCCTTCCGATCTGGACTGGGGAGTGCTGGGAGTTCTTTTGCAAGATGGCGAAAAGTTTGATGGAGAGGGTTTGGTTATAGTGGGTGGTATTTTATACGGATATATTATGTATGTGTTCTTGTTGCTATCGTCGTTGTGGTTGTTTTTGGGCGAAATCATTCCTTGTTGCTGTTGATGCAGTTGTCTGTGTTGTTGTTGCTGTTGTTGTTGTTGTCGTTATTGTTATTGTTGTTGGAGGTGGAGGAGGTGGTGGTGATGGCGGTAGTGGTGGTGGTGACGCTGTTATTATTGTTGTTGTTGTAGTTGTTGTTGTTGTTGTTGTTGCTGCTGTTATTGTTGCTATTATTTTTGTTGTTGTTCAACATTTGCCATATATGAAACGAGAGTGAGAGTAGAACAAAGAGAGAGGGAGAGAGAGGGAGTTAAAGAGAGAGAGAAAGAGAGAGGGAGACACAGAGAGAGAGAGAGAGACATAGAGAGAGAGGGAGAGAGAGAAGGCTGTAGACAGACAGACAGACAGACACACACACACACACAAACACACACACACACACACACACACAAACGCACACACACGCACACACATGCGTGAAGCTAGCAGAGTTGTAGATAAGGACAACATTGGATACCCCATACATCATACCAAAATGCGCAGGATTTCTCCCATCGGGCTGCACTGGAACATGCGTTCATTACACCCCCGGGGCGTTCATTAGTACAGCGCAAAATGACGTAGCAACTGCCAAGGGAGACGCTAAGGTTTATTTCTCTAGAAACGGGCCAGGCCAGAGACCGTAAATACCCCAGGCCACCTCATCTATATTCAGGCCGGTCGGGCAAGGCCAGATTACCGGCCAAAAACTGCACGAGGGCCTTGGAGACCGTTCATAGCTTGCCGGGCGCCTTTGATTATGAAGTTGATGATAATTCCATTCATCTCCCGGATACATGCAGATTTGCCCCGACGGTGACATGCGTTCAAAGGGTCAGGGGTCAGGGAACCCCGATTTGAATATCTCCATCCGGATAATGGTCAAAGCCTCTGGTAATGTCCCCTCTCTTGGGTGTACAGACAGAAAGAAAGGCCCGGGAACAAAAGGAATTACAAATGGATTCTAATTCTAGATTCGGCCCAGTCGTCGTAATATAATATAACATAGTATAATATAATATAAAATTATATATATATATTATACACGTTACAAATACAAGGTCACAGACAACCAACATTCAATTTTAAAGTGCAAGAAAATATTATGGACAA